CTTCAGAAAAAAGCCTTCTGCAGTCCTTCATCCTTACTCTGCATAGCAGAGTCATTCAGCCTCGCTCTCGAACAAGACATTCAGAATTAAACAATGTCAAAAACATTTGGAAAACTGCATGTGCACAAAGGATCAACAGCCAGATGGAAACAGTCTGAAACTTACAGTTGCAGAGGAATACTTAGTACAGGAACCTAATTTAATGACTGAACTACAAAAAAAAAATCTTATTTCCCAGAGAGTTCTAAAAATTTGGAAATTGAGCTTTAACAAAAAAAGATGCTTTTTAAAATGAAAATAACAGACAGCAATTTATAGACATGTTTTTCTTTATTTGGTGAACTACAAGAATAAAGCAGGTGCCTAATAATACAGCATTTTATCAAAACAGACAAAACATACCTCACTTCATAATTTAAGAAACAAGGAGAGGGAGCATCAAACCCCATTAGGTCTCACTACTACATAGGTGTCATGCTGCAGTTGCAAAATGCACAGAACAGGATTTTAAGGATAAGAGAAAAATCAACTGTACAAACAAATCTGATAAATCTTCATTGAAAGAAGTTTTTACATGATCTGCCTATTGGAAAATAATTGAGTGCTATAATATAAAGATACTACTGAAAAAACCCCCAGATAATGAAGCTGGGGGAGAGACCAGAGATTTTCACTGTTTTACCTCATGCATCTTGGAAGGACAGACATAGTGCATTCATAACATTGAAAACCACAACTTTTTCTTTATGTTTTCAGACTAACTTATAAGCTCTGTTCTCCATTTCTACTGGACTCTGCTTGAATTCCACACAGAAAGGTAGTTTTCGTCCACTAAACTGCTCAGCTATTTCAAGTTCTCAGATGTTTATGATCAAAAACACTCACTGTCATACTTGTATATTCTGTAGTTAGTACCTTCTTCAAACATAAATTTTTTTTAAGACTGCCTCACTGTACACCATGTTGGATTCTAAAGTTTGATTTGGGAACATGTCAAACATGCAACCAGTTTTACCATCAAAAGAGCACAGTGTTCTAGTCTACAGATACCCATAACTGAAGTTGGGTATAAGCGTGAAACTCTATCCATTTACCTTGGCAGTCTTCAAGGTGGTGTCACTGGGGAGCAGGGACGAAGAGAGACCTTCAGCCCGTTCAGCAGAACAGCATGTCCACATTCCTGGTACAACTTTAAGCCAACTGTCATTTTAACAGGTTTTCTGAACTCTCTATCAACTGTTACAACACATCAGGTCCTACAGGAAACAGTAAGCATTAACTACTTTCCTTCCAGACTCTTCCGCATGTGCGACAGCTGGCAGCTACCTTATTTTACTGACACACCTCTTAGCAGAGCAATAAAACTCAGAAGCAATTCAGCGCCTCTTGCCTTCCCAAAGTTTACAATTCTACATTAATTTTTCAGAAAGAAAGAGATATGACACTGCATCTGAAATACTGTCCACATAAAATATAGAGTTTTGAAGCTTTCTGGGGATTTGCAGACATCTTTCAGTACAGGCAACAGACCCACACACAGCAACTTGGAGCCTACAGTACAGCCAATAGTGAGTCCATTTTTCTTGTGTACAATTAGAAGATGCCTTACAATTGCCGCAGGAAGAAAACAAAAGGATTCACAATCCTGTTACTTACAAGCAGCTTCTTTAGTCTTCTTTACCCCTAAGGTCTGCTTCGACTTGAATATAGGTCATCAGATCATTCAAACTATTTCCTCTGTAGTTTCTCATTTCTGAGAGACATTCCTCAGAGTCCCAGCAGCTTCTCTACAGTTCCTGGATTAATTGGAAGAAACTGCAGTATGGACCTTCACAATTGCTATGCACTGCCAAGATCTCCAAATGCTTAGCACTATGAAAGAGCATGCACGCAGTGCCATCTTACAGATTAGGGACATTTAGTGCAATGTCATATTACACAAGCTAAGAAAGTGTCTCATTTCTTCAAAAGCATTAATTTGTGAGTAAGAACATTACAAGAAAGGAAGAATAGGTTTGGAAGAAGCTCAACACAAAGTTTAATGCAAGCACTATGAACAGTATTCATCAGCTGCTGACATGAAATATTTGCTCTGAAAAAATACATCATTGTATTCCTCAAAGCTACAGAGTCTGGAGTTCTGCACCTCAATTATCACCCCAAAGTACTTTATTCGTGGCTGGATAGCTGTACTCTGGCATGTAATTCTCAACAATCTGCTCCTTCAGCTTTCTGGTCACTTTCAGAACATGGTTTAGTGGGCATGGTTGGTGGCCAGACTCGATGATCTTGAAGGTCTTCTCCAACCTAAATGATTCTATGATCCCTTGAATTCCTAATGCTTCCAGGAACAAAATATTAAGTGAGCTTTGACATATGAGAATGACACCTCTCAGTAGCTGGATCCAATACTTAAGAGCTGGATAACATCATAGACTACAAAACAACCCCAAAACCTATTAAAATCCTCCATTTATTTTTTTTTAATGTGACATCATCAGTTAAACTTGAGAATTTGCTTCCTGCAGATCCTCTGCTTCTAAATAAACTTCAGACAGCAGTTTGGAATAACACAAGAATGTTATCAATAGCAAACTCTACAACTACAAGTTTGACTAATAATAGTCAATTATTCTAAGGAATCCTCACTTTTAAAGCCACTCTTCTGTAGCAAAATCTCAAGCTCTTTTCTCAGCTCCTCACAAAAGTCTTCCAGAATAAGGAACACTTGGTATGTTCTCAGATCCTGCCTGGCAATTCACAGGCCTTACGCCAAAACAACCTTGGAGAAGATACTGGCAGATCATAGATCACAGCATCCATTCTTTCTGCATTCAGGAGGGCAACTAGGTTTATTCACCTTCGCAGTTTTCCAAAACTGAATATAACCAAGGGAGAAGAGAACTGGGAAATCTATCTGACCTCCTCCTTAGTCAAGACACTCTGCATAGTTTCTACTCCATTTCTTAAATCTGTAAGGCATCTAATTAGTATAATTAACGAATACAAGTCTAAACAATTTTAAAAAATTGGTCATGCTTTACAGCAGAAGTAACCAACTTCCAGCTGGAGATTAAACTACACTTACTGATAATTTCATTTTATCAGAACCATACAAACGATAGCAGGGGACAGGTATGGAATAAGATCATATGAGCTATCTTACGCACATCTCTACAGCTTACTTTTGCAAAGCTTAGTCTTTCTTCAAGGGCATCCTAAATTCTCTTTCCCAATCCTACCTCACTTTCCACAGCTAGGTTTAGGGAGAGAGTCTACTCTGGACTAACAATAATTCAGGTGCTGAAGTTAGTGGCCTTATTCACTTTCGGAAAGTAAAGAGAAAGTCAGAAGAAACTTTAGAAACTGCAGTGGTAGGACTATGTCTGTCCAGTTGCAACCTATGTTCCACCGCTACTACTCTTGGTGAAGCTGCTCTCACAGATCCAATTTCATCTGTGAACCACAAGGTGCTTCTCCTGACAGAAATTTTCCACTTGCAGAGACAATCCACACCTCAGTTTGCATACTGATATATACATAATATCTGTACACTAAACACCGTTTGTGTTAGGCACATCTCATTGTTACTGCCTACATTAAAAACATATGCGAATATTTGCAATAATTAAAGCATTTACTTTCTTGACATGAAAGCAAGGTGATAGTATCCTGAGCACAGACAAACCTTTGTGCCCAAACCACAGACTTCTTCAGTCAATTTCATTCTAACTATCTCAAAAGAAAGACCAAACAACAAAGGTTTATAGTCAGACTCCCAGCAGTTTCAGATTCACTCCAGGTGAACACCGATTTCTAAGCATATACAGCTAATACACACACAAACTGCTAAGTTATGCAAAAAATGTATTACCAGTAAAACTGAATGTTGTTTCTTACTAGAATTATTTATTTGGAAGTAAAGACAGAAGTTACCGACAATCACACAAGAAGTCCTTACATGACTGTATCCTAATGCATTTCTGACCTTGAAAATCTTGTATGATCTATTGCTGCTGGAGCTAGGATACTTGAGATAGGTATCCACACATATCACTTATTTAACAGCTCACAGCACTGCTCTCCAACCACCCACCTCCAGGATGCCTCCATTCAGCCTCCAAGTAATTCTAATGTTGTTCTACGCACATGCCCAGGTGTTTGCTTCCAGAAGCTGCCATGAAGTTCCTGCCATCCTATCAGGCACCTGGAGAGCAACTCTGTTGGTCTGCAGAGGAGCAGGATTTGTTTAGAAATTGGTTTAAAATTACAACCTGAATATGAATATTGATATTCTCAAACCACTTTATCCCATCTGTCACACTAATTCACACTAATTTCTACACTAACTGTTTATGTATAAAGACTTTATCCCATCCTTTCAATTTTTTTAGGGTAAACGCAGTCTAAGAGAGCTGGCCAATAGTAATTGCCTTCAGCCAAAAATACTGGCTGCTTTAATATCAGTAAGCTAACAGAAGTCAGACCTTACATATCCTTTAACACTAGGAATCAAGTGTTACTGAATAGTTTTGTAAACAGTGACTCTCCTGAACAAATAATTAAAGAATTAATCAGTCATAACCTAGACTAGTAAGTAAAATCTTCAATACTAAAGCCACCTTGTCTCATCTAACAAAACCAAAACACAAATCTATCTCTGTAACAGGTCAGAGAAACCACTGCCTGAAAACATTTTCAGCAACAGCTGTTTTCTGAAATAAGCGAGGGCTAGTTGTGCTACCAAGAAATAACAGAGCTTTTCTTTTCAAAACGGCTTACAGGGGCAGGCATTAAACTTCTATTGCACTTGAACCCAATATGGGTCTACAGTTTCCCCAGGTGTTTTTGAAAATCCCACCCTAGAGCTCTCTAAGGAGGAAAGTAGGAGAGGAAAAGCACAGTAAAGGGAAGGAAGAACAACGACGAGGAAGGAAGAGGGTGAAAGATAGGAGATCAAAGACAAAAAGAAGGAAAGCAAAGAAGATAATTTATCCTACCAGAGACAGCACCTCTTGTCAGTCAAGACAAGAAACATTGCCTCCCAAAAAGAATCTGGCACCAGGAAGTGGCAGAGGTCATGGGGGAAGACCAAATCTGACCTGAGGTAAGAAAAAAAAATGGAATTATGATTATTTTTTTTTAACCTTTGTCTGTTGCTTCATCTTACTTGTGCAATGTATTTTAAAAAAAACCATTTTTTTTTTAATTAATGTCTTTCTTCAGCTGGATTTTGATAGTGATGACAGCGGGATGATCCAGATCAAATATGGAACAGGATCAATAGTATTTTAATAAAAATGTGAAAATCTATGTAAATACTGAAATTAAAACAAATTTAAAATACTATAGCGAAGCTGTATGAAATGATAGCTGTAAACAGTATATGCCACTGAAATGTCCCAATGAGTCAAAAATTTGGAAGAATGCACTTGCATCTATAAAACTTACTGCAGTGGAGTACAAAACCACTAATTCCTATCTTTAGGAGACTTTCCCGAGTGTCTTCTGGCAAGACATAAAATCTCTACCTTATCTCCCACGTGCAAATGGGAGAGACATCATGGTCTCCTGTGTCCAGGTTCCCTGTTTAATTGTAACAAAAAAGCTCTACCCAGGTCTCCAATTGAAAATGGGCTAACTTTTAGATAAAGTCTCCTAGAAGATCCAGATAAAGCAATCACAACAGATAGAATTAACATATTCATGAAATTCACTGCAGGGCCACAAATGGGCAATGAAAAGAGGAATTCTTGTACAAAGGCATATCACAGACTAAGCCTAAAAAAAATTTAAATATTTTAACATTAAAAATTATTTAAAAATCCATCAAACAAATCCATCCTCCCCCTAACACTCATTCAAACTACATTCTCAAAACAAACCTGGGGGTGGGGGAGTGGAATTTCCAAGTATGTTGGAGGCTCCAGTAACTTCTATCTGTACATTAAAATTAATTCCAAACTAGAACCAATGACTTCAAGTGGCAGAAATCAAGCCATCACCTGCATACACCTTTGAAATACAATTCTGAGACCTATGGATGAAGATCAGTTAGGCGAGTGATAAAAATCATATTAAAGCTGAAGACAATTCTATGATGATGCCCCACAATTTTCATTTGGTACTAACCTCACTTACCAACTTTGTAAATGTCAATAAGCCAAATAAAACTTTTTAAATAGCTCTAAACTGAAACCTTGGGTTTACATACACATTCTGAAACAGTGGAACTAATGAGTTTGTCTCTGTGCTCCACACTGAATTCAAAATGCTCTTACTTCATTGTATCAAAATTAATTGTAATAATGCTATGCAGACATAAAAATGTGGATAACCATAAGGATCATATGTGCAAAAAATTATAGGAGTAAGTTCAAAACAGGTGTTCAGGTGATGCTTCAGAGAAAGGTGTAGGAACCAAACGGGACGTAAGATTTGAGATACTCAACTGCCGCATTCAAATCTGAAATAGTTGAGAGACCTGGAATATAAAGTGTAAGATAAAATCCAAAGCTTTAATTGTTTAATCTGGGTACTAGGTAGCCTCAAGACCCTTCAGTGAAAAAATCCTCCACAATATCATTAGATACTGTATGAAAAAGCACTTAAGCTTTAATCACCCCCTTCGATTAATGAAATATCCTCTTGTATTCAGAAAAGGAGATTACAGACTCTTGCACAGATGATGCCTTTCTTTCAGATTCCCTCTCCATATCAGCCTCAGGTAAATACCTTTTCAATTTCCACCCATGCAGTAATTCCCCCTCACATGTGTCCTGAGTCACTAACAGCACAGCTGCTCACAGTGCCTTATAATGCTGTTTCTGTATGGGTAAACAACATTGCTGCCTATAGTTAAGCTTGTATATACCTCTTCTCCATTATGACTGCATTTTCAGTACCTGCAGGTACCAAATCCACTCATCTGCTCTAATCCTGTAGAGGGAAGAATGCATTAGATGTGGAAGATTTAGCCCAAGTGATTCCAAGAAAAAAAAACAAAACAACCAAACATGAAAACTCCCAACTTTGCTCTTATTAAAATATATGCATCCTAGTATCAATCAATTACCAGAATCCATAGGAAATGCAATCTAACACAGTTGTATTCCTTTCTACAAAAAAAATACCACCTCACTCAGTGCACCAGGGCATATAGTGTTCAGTAAACAAAAAGTCTATTTGTTTTATCATCACTGGTCAGTCTGAGCCTTTATGTATCACACACTGAAAAATTTGCATTGACTATGGATTTCTGCACTGCCTTTTCCCGGCAAGCATTCCTCTGTAGCATTTCAGTGTAGCACAAATATCAATTAACTAACTTTGAGAGCACTTCTAAGCAGTATTTTCCTTCTCTTGAAATAGAGGTAAACCAAGACATGTAAAGATTAAAACTGCAAGTCCACTGCATCCAGCTGCCCAATCTGAGATGCCAAAGGATGGATTTTTCAGAATCTTTGATTTTCTAGAGTTAAGTGTTTTTCAAAGCTTATCGCTCAGTTACTACAGTTGCAGTCATGAATGCTCAGATCCCCAAATCCCAAATCAGGCCTTCATAACATAAGGAGCAAACAGCTAACAACCACCTGTGAATTCCTGCTGAAGTGATTTGCCTAGTAGTCCACATAACTCTGGAGCAGAGGACCCTCTGCAGGAGGGTCGATCCAGCTTTCCACAACAAAACTCCACTGTCAACACCTCGACCATCCTTTCTTCCTGTAATGCCGCCTACGTGCTCATTTGCTGTACAGTCCCACAGAACAGGGGTCTAACACACAAAACCTTCCTGCACACCACACCCTAAGAGAGGCAGGGGTGATACAGAATAGATAATACGCAGCTGTGTAATTACACAATGCAGATACTCAAGGAAGGTTGAATTAGTGTTGTCTGTGCAACCAAATTCTGGCACATCCCAACTCCTGAGCACTGTTCTTCCAATCTGCTGCTTTGTCCAGCAGTTTCTTGAATATAGTTAACACTTTTTATATGTCACTATTCAGGTTTTTTTATTCCTTAACAGTAACTGAAGCAACAACAAAGACACACCTATGAACAGCGACACCCACAACTCTTCCTCAAATGTTATCAGCAATGTAAACATGCAAAGATACTTGAAAAGCTTTCTTTGTTTTATTTAATGTGTACGAATTTTATTTGTGCAGTACCGCTCAAGCAACTTGCATGGCTCTCTTCCCCTGATCCCTTCTAGTCACCACTAGTTCAGACAAACATTTGGAAGAGTTATATCACCACTGTCTTCTCTTTTCACCCCCAGCCAATAATGCTAAAAGTATCACAGTTCCATCCCAGTTTTTCTGCTTAAGATACTGGCTATTGACCTTTCAACACTAATCATTTAAACCTAATCTTTTTCTCCTGTTTCCCAAAGAATATTTGATCCATGGCATTACTACTACTCACAAACCTGAGAGAAAAAATGGTCTCTCTTTACACGTTTTTGGAGGACCTTGTTCACAGACTCTGCAGGGAGAGCAGCATATTGGTTCACACACAGTGTATTTCCCAAATCATCAGAGCCAGAAACCTTTTTTTTAAATGAAAACCTAGCTTCCTCAAAACCACCACGTATCTTGCCAGTTAAAATATCACTGATGTGTCCAGCTCCTTTTATTATTAAATGATTCAGTTTCTTACTGAAAGCAAAGTTTAATAATAAAGCAAATTACTGTGTTCCAGTGTTTCTAATCACATTTGCAGCTGTTTACATTTAACAGGAATATTTTTTGTCCTAAACACAGCTCTCACTAGTTAAATTATCACACTCACTTTCAGATACTGCACAACACCTGTAATTACATGCATTAATATGCTACCATAGGGTAAAACTAACAACAGTATGAAATACTTTCACATACATAGTTAGAAAACGCTTTGTCAGATTCCAGTATTAGTGCAATTCAAAAAACCTCATTGTTTTACATTACACGTCCAACTTTATCTGGATTTATTTTCTACAAAACAGATCTAAATAACAGCAACATATGAAAAAATTTGTGATTATTCTGCATTGTGGAATAGAAAAATTCCACATTGGGAGAAGATGTAAGCAAAATATTAAAATGCATCAGAAGGCAGAAAGTTATAACTGGTGTCACAGATGCATATTTCATTATTAAATGCAATACTTCACCACAACAGTATTTTGAGTACTTTGTATGAAAAATATGTATTCTTGTTACCTCAACTAAGAGCTTTACATGCAAAAATAGATTAATTCTACATTTAGTGGCAATTCTACAACTGACACTGCATGAAATATTAAAAGTTACACATCAACTGCTAAATGTTATTTATCTTGAGAGGAGTTTGTAGTACCCTTCCACAGCTCAAGTATGACACAGCTCTTGCATAATTATGATGGGCAGAAACTACTGTTGCTTTTAATATTTTCAAAAATTTTGTTATGGATAAAGTTTTATGTTTTGTATGATGATAATACAGAAAATGTCAACAGCCCAGGCACCCAAGCTGTTCACTGTACAGCTAGAAGACTGGAGCTAACACTACCCTTACATTAGCTGTTTTCAAGCGCTTGGTCTGTATTCAAGTGTAACTCTAGGATTTCTTGAATTTCAAAGACCAAGTTCTGTGCATTTGTTTTTAAGATGTGCTTATTTACCCTTCTATTACAAAGAAGCACTTGATTTAAAGATCTCTATGCAAGACATTTATACATACACACACACAAAAAAGGAGCACTGAGACTCCAGCTCCCTCAAATACAAGGAGCTTGAAGCTAGCAGAGAACATTTGGAAACTCATGGTCCTGACAGTCACTGCTCTCCCTTCCTAGGTTTGTTACCACCATCCATTCACAACTTTACTTCACATGGGACTAGGATTAACTGCAGAGCTTTGCTGATTCATAAGAAATGCTGACAAATGGGCACCCTCAAAAACAACCACCACTTGCATTGCTGCTAGCTCTTTAAAGCTTAAAGAATACATCCCTTAGCAAAAATTAGAAACAATGTATGGAACTGAGGCTGGGAGTGTGGTGCAGAGTGTGAGAGACAGAGAAAGCCAGGCCCTTGTATGATCAGTAATGCTGCAGCAACCCAGTTTCACAAATGAAGTTGCAAAAAATGGTCTTCTAATGATATTACTGGAAGTTGTGATTCTCTATTTTTCTGCTGTCCTGGGTGGTATCTACCGCCATGTGAGAGAATCATTGCCAGATGCATGTCCACAGAAAGAAAATCTGTAATATGCAGAATACCTTCTGGTATACTTTCTAGAGAATAACAAAAATTACCTGCCCACTCCTTGTAGGCTGCCAAATATTACACCACCACTACTCCTCAACAGAGGGGCTAACCCAGAGAAACACAGCATGTCACTCCCATAAAGGGAACAACATGAAATCCAAGACCAGGGGACGACCTCATGTTGCATTCTAGAAAACCAAAGGCAGAGAACAGCTAGTCTCTTAACACCAAATCACAGAACAAAACTGGCTTTGAAAAATTAGAAGTGACTAGCAATAGCAAGAGGTGGATAAACACTAACAGCTACTCTTGACAGTACTACCAACAAAGTCTCTTGAATACCAAATGAAGATTTCAAAAAAGAGCAACAATAACTCATGTTCTAGTTGTGCCCATTTTCCTGAATTCAGGAGAAACGTGAGCCCAAAGCTCATGTGTGAGATGAGAGCACAGTGAAAAAGCAGGCTGTGGTTAGACTTTTTCTGAAGGATAACAATTGCTCTTTTTTCTCTCTTTTTTTTTTAAACAACAGATTGTATTTTATGGATTATTACACCAAAGAAAACAGTCCAGAAACCCCGATGGAAAAAATTAAGCTTAAATCTCTATAAGATGCTTCATGGCCTATTTAAGGTCCCAAGACTTTGAGAATTCCAACATCTCCAGCATTTACCTTTCCAGAGACATCCTTTCCCATCATAAAACTGGTACAGCATCCAGTTTCTGTCAGGAGCAATCAATAAATCTCATTTGTAACTTAGAAAATGAACCATTTTAAAGGAAACACACAGAAAAGATACCAGTTATTAAACATGATTAAAGCTTGCTTTTTCCCTATACCATATTCTTCCAAGACAACCCTTCCCAAACTAGCCACATTGGATCAAAAAAACCTGTCAGCTGTGAATGACACCATACAGATCTGAAACAAGAATTACTTTTAGTATTTCATTTCCAAGGATTTCCAGATTTCTAACAGAATTAAGTGTCCAAACCCCTTTTCCATGAAGTTGGAAAAGCATACCTCCCATATTAATATGAGTTATTCTAACCCTGTGACTAAAGTTGACTAAACCAAAATATCTGAAGTGTGAAGAGGAGAATCACTGAGAAATTAAGAGACAGACCATAATTTTAATAAAAATATCACAAGGATACAGTGACAGATATTTTTTATTCTCACAGTGTTCTCATGGTTTCACTCACGCCATGTGTGCGCATACACACCTGAGGAGTCTACATCCACAATACAGAATTACCAAAACTCACACTCACTTACCAAGAAAAACAGACAGGTTTTTTTCTAACTAGGCATGTCTAGAAGGAACAAACACTGATGAATCTGCTTTGGAAAGAGAATATTAAGCCTGGTTTTGTTAACAGTCACTCCTAAAAATATCAACAAATAGGCAAGCAAGGGAATGTAACTTTCCCTACTACAAAAAGAACCTAACACAATAGAAAAATGTATGATACAGCCTCCATCAGAAACATACTTACAAGGAAACCTACTTTCAGATTTCCTCTGTCTTAACAAAAAGGCTGCTCCAGGACTGAAATGTCTTTTTAGCAAATGTGAGTACCTTTTATAACAGCCCATGCACTTACCACTATAAACACTAAAGAACAACACATGGTATCACTTCCGTAATTTTAACCTGTTCAAGCTAGAAAAGGCTTGTATTCTACTACTGTACTTTAAAGAGAGTATCATGGATACATGCATCACAGCAAAGACTTACAGACTGCATAATCCCACATCACTTACAACAACTTTGTGATCAATGCTCACTTCATTCGCTATTGTTATAAACTCCATCTTTAATCATAAAGAAATCCAGCATCTCCACCCACTTGGGAAAATACATGGGGGGGGGGGGGGGAAAAAGAAGACAGATGGAATTTGATACCCCTACAAAATTTTAACTTTAAAAAAAAAAGTTAGGGGTTTTAGGGAAGATAGTTCTTTGATACAGAAGCACACATACTTGCACAAACAAGAAGTCTGCAAAATACTGTGACGGCACACCGAAAATCCATTTGTCCAGCACCAAGCTACCAACTAGAAGCCAGCATTATCAGCCACAAATACGGAACTCTCCTATAACGATTCTGTCAAAACATTTTAAGACTAGGTAAAACAGAGAAATGAGAAATTAGCTAAGATAGAGCAAATGGAGACAGGTGCTGAA